ATATTTGTTGAGAGCTTTTTATCAATTTCGGAATCCTATTATATATTATAAATTAATATAATTAAAATAAGCTTTATTTGAATCAAATATCTATATATAGCTTTTCTTTTTTATAAAGAATATTTTTTTTTGATTGAAGATAGTATTATTATTATAAAAGGAGCTGGATAGTGAATCTTTAATAAAAGAAGAGGAGAAGGTATTATAATCTCAAAGTTGGTTTTGAGATTTGGTTGTTTTTGTTGTAGATTTAGGCTTTTATTTGAAAATAATGAATTAGGGGAAAGGGACTTCGAGTTTAAGATTTTCTATCTCTTTTTTATATAAATATAAATCTTCAATTACCATTATTATTAATAATTTTGATTTTCTAAATACTTTTAAGGTGTTTTGAATAATGATTATATTATTAGCTATTGAAATAATTTTATATATAAAAAATAACTTCAAAATACTTCAAAAAAAGATTCTTTTTTTGAAAAGAAAAGAAAAAAAAAAAGATAAAATCAAAATATATTTCTTTTTCAATTCTAAATACTTTTTCAAGATTATTACTCTATTAAAGCTTTTATATGATTCTCAATTTTAAATATAGGGTTTTTAATATCGAATTGAAGTTTAAATTAAATATTCTAGAAAAACCATGAATTATTTAATGGATTTGATATTCAAATTATAAAATTATAGATTAATAATCCACTCTTTTTAAAGCAGATTGACAAAAAGACCATTGTCCTCCGCAAGGAGCCCGGCTGGTTCAGTGGTAAAGTGATCGGGCCACTCTCCCACTGTTTTACGACATAAGGCTATAGCGACGAAATTTTCGTATATATGGGCCAATCCCTATCTTTGGGATTCACATAGATTCACTTTATATGTCGTCTCATAGGTCATCTTAATGTGGACCTTATAACACAGCTTCTCTAAGCTTCAATAATCTACCGCTAACCTTGATAGAGCTTCTCTATTATAGGTTGTAAAAGCAATCGATCGAGTACTGAGAAGGAATTAGTAATCCCCCCTCCAGCCACCACCATTATGTCTATACGCCACTCCACTATTAAGCAGAACCACTGTTCCGGTTGTTTCTCTTGAGCAGCCTAATAGCCGAATCCTTCACTTCTCTGGAGTATTATTATATATATATCCGTTTCTTTAAAGTAATATACCTGTATATATTGCTTCTATTTATAAAACATAATTCTATAATAAAAATAATTGTATAATCAGAGCGTTCCTTTTTATAAGTAGAAGGAAGTGCTAGGAATATGGGGCTAATCAAATGGCTCTATTTGTAATCATTACACTGGCTTGTTTAGAATATATAAAAGGAACTGGGTTTATTCTATAAGGTTTTATTAGTATATATATTAGTGTCTTTTTATATTTATAACTCTAGATCTAGTCACATCTTTCATATCCCTCGGGAGATTCTTCACAAGACGTTAATCACTATAAATAAATAAATAAATAAAATTTTTGAAGCAGATTAATATCATTACGGAATCTGCGATAACACAAAGTGTAGATTATTTCAATAGATTCAGCACGGATTTTATATCCAAACTAGCCCTAAGTCTTTCATTCGTTGGTACCTTAGGCACTGCATAGTTGAACCGATTTTGTGTACGTACAACTGTTTATACTTATCGTATGTTCTCCTAGTTAAGTAAGTGCTTCCTGGTCTCTTCAGCATCCAGGGTAACCACCCATCCGATTGGGGTTTCCGAAATGGTCGGGATATTCTTCAGGGCGAGGTCAGTCACCTTAGTGCAGAGCTCTTTGCGGAACACATACGGGCCTTGTCGGTTGAGTATGGGTAAGGGGAAGGAGAACAATTGCTTAATAAACGTTCATTCTTCTAGAGGAGTAACTGGGCCGGAGATTTGAGAGTAAGATGAGATGCTAGATTCACATTAAGAGGGGGGATGGGGGATGGGGAATGGAATGATATAAGCTAGAGGTAATCTCTCTTATCGTAGAGAAAAATAGGAAAATATTCGGATACTCAATATGTAGTATTGAATATATTGCGTATTACTATAGTGGGATGTATATGAAGTATCTCGCATACTACTCGTACTCCCATCACTGGACTAGTCAAATGTTGTTTGAGGAGTATGAAATGTGATGATGAGGGGGTTAAAGAAGAAGGTGTGTTGAAATTGGTATTCTGCTTTGTTTGCGGAGGATATGGGGGTATGGGTGTTTGGGGAGGTGTAATAAGAACGAAGCGGCTGATTTTTAAAGAGTCAACTATCAATTAGAGCAGAAATGATATGGTTCGGGATAGTCAAGCTTTGATAATATTCATCACGATGTCACTGCAGGGCGTCAATATTTTATCCGAGTATAGTAAAATATTAAACTGAGATCTCGCAAACTTTAATAATGCAAAAGAATGACCACAAACTTTGAACTGAAATCCCCTCTTCATCAAAACTCCCTGCAACTCATTTGTAAACCACCCATCTCGAAAAATCAAAAGGAACAAAAAGAAGTCCAATAAACCAAACAGTAAAAGAAAGCATCGAAAACAACATCAAACGACCATCTCCACAGCTCTGTAGAATCCCAGATGATCGGTTGCTCTTTGCAGCCAATCCAGAAGTTACATAGCCGCTTTAGCAAGGTTGTTGGCAAAGTTCTCGTCGTTGAAAGGACAGATTGCAGCTCCAAAAAGGCCTTTAACGTTCAAAGCCTTCTTGCTAACCTCTGGCAAGAACCCCCACCACATCATGGGTAGATCTACACCCGGAGTATTGGTGAACTGCAATGCATGGTTCTTTGGGATCTGAACAAAATACTCGACTTTGGGTCTAGTGCCCTGGCGTGGGGGATCGGTAGTTTTCTGCACTCCTCCGTGGCCCGATGCCGCGGCGCCGATGAGGACGGGTCTGGCGACCTCGGGATTGTTGAACCAGACGATGACATGCTCCCAGTCGTGACGATGACCGCCGATGAGGTTTCCGGCAGCGGGATGGTCTTTGGGCCAATCTGGGGGTGTGTTAGATGGGCAGAGGGATTGGATAGAGGGGAGAGGGAGAGAGGGAGAAAGGAGAAGACTTACACCAAGCGTACATGATTCCATAGTGGCCTCCGGACCAGCCACCTCGAACATAGGTTTGGCCATACTGGGGATCATTGCAGAAACCGGTTGGGTCGCCAGTATCTTGAAGCCCACCACTGAAAGCTGTGTTAGCCAGCTTCCATCAGGAGAGAAGGGAAGGGAAGAGAGAGTTTTCATACCTTGTGTTACCGTAGCCATCGACAGCGCTGTAGGGTTTACATCCATGAGCAATGTGAATGTATGGCTCGAATTCCCTCAAGGTATTGCCTAATGCACCACCGGGCACATTTTCTGGCCATGGATGGATGGAATTATGGGGAACGACAGCGCGAGCTGTGATGTTGCTTTCCTCGATGGGAGCGCCTTTGACGGCTGCTGCTGCGGCGAGGAGGTAAAGAAGTTTGGTATTGAAGAAGAACATTTTTGAGTGGGAAAGATTGACTTTAGTTGGAGGACTGATATTGTGTGAAGATATGTTATGAGGGAGAAGAGATGATGCTGATGAGAGGGATGATGTTTTTGCAAAGGAATCTACAGTACTCATAGATTCTTCGAGTACCACTTGGTACACTTAACGACTGACAGTGAGGATGTGTAGTATGCTGCTGATCTAGGCAATCCCTAGTAAATTGTTCCTCCATTTCCTTAATTCTTTCTCCCAAGAAATTTCGAATTCGAAAACTACCTAGTAATTGTGAGTTCTAAAATTACTTCTCAGAGAAATTCTCTTGATGTTATCAGCATTGAAAGCCTAGACAACGGCCAATAGACCATGGCAGTCTTAGCCCGCGAACTCTCTTTCGAAAAATGTTATCCGATATTGAAAGTGACAGTCTTGACCTTTCCTCGATACGAGATACTGAAGACTGCTATATTTCAGCCTCTCAGGTCATCAGATGGAATAACTATCAGAAGTTATGGAATAGGTGAACTGATTGACTGATTGATTTTAAACGTCCATCTTCAGTCCAACACTTGAAGATGGACGTTAATAGAATCAATCAATCAATCAATCAGTCCAAGACTATATAGGACAGCTAGGCTGTAAGAGCCTAACAGGTAACATTTTAGTTTACAATATTGGATACGATCTAATTGGGGAAGTGAAAACAAATGCTGGGCACCAATGCCCTCTTACCGCATTGCAGATAATAAGAAAACTTGACTTTTATGATATAATAGGGAGATTAATCCCTTCTCTTTCCTCCATTACTGATTCTTCCTCGCTTACACTTATTCCTTCCTCTACTACTACTTCTCCTTCCTCTATTTCTTCTTTTTCGAGAGCTCTTATCAAACGCCAAGCTCTTGTAGCAATTTTAGTAGTATTAATAAGCTTGATAGCCAACTCGATTCCTATCTTTGTGTAAAGTAGGAACTTTATAGTGATCTTAGATATTAATATGTTCTTGAATATCTCTTTTCTTTCTGATTTATATATAGAATAAGTAATGAGGAGGTAGTATGGGGCTTCAATATTACCATATATGTATTTATTATTGGTGAATTTAAACCGATATGAGTAAGATTTAATATATCCATGTCCTAATTTGAGTTGAAAGAATGCGCTAGCAGTATATCGATTGGTTCCGCTTGATAGATTGATTTTGGAACCTTTTTTCCATGGGAATAGCTTCGAGCAAGTTGACAAGGATTAGTCTGGTCTGAGTTCGTATTGATTGAGGATAGAAAGCCATTGATCTGAATCATCTCCCTTAATAATCATACTCAAACGTCCGAAGCTTGTTTCGTTCGAGGTGGGCTGATGATATGTGAACTGAGTCTGATGTGAAAAACCTAATACCTATGACTCGCTTGACAATAGTGGATACGCTCATCTCCTTCAAGCGTCCCGAGTATTTTAAACTTTTTTAAGCTTCTTTTAAGTTTTCATGCATAAACGTTAGTTAACTCCACGAACACCACGAACATGGCTCCTTCTTTATTCCTGATCCAGAGGACTCTGCTGAGTCTAAGTGGTAGTGCAAGTCTCAGCGAACCTAACATTCAGAATCTATTCGAAATGGATAGATCGCTACTTAGAATTCATTGTTTTGACAATGGCCCTACCGCCAACAAATACTTGTCTCTTCATGCGATTAATGAAGCTTTCGACGCGGCGATCTCGAGATGTTGGATTGGGTTCAAATTTCAGGTGGCGGCAGTGGGGGGTGGTGGTGGTAGTGGAGAAAAGTCGGGTTGGTAATCCATTCTATGCGTACCCGACGGCATACTCCTGATGACCAACACAAGAATGGAAGGTCGTTCGGCCCTTTATCACACAAAAGGTCGAGCCATAAGGTTACAATGATTCTACCAAGAGTTATAACTTATAAAGCAGAGCCCCCGGTACTTGCAACTTTTCTCGGAGCATTATAGTTCCATTAAAGAAGTTGCCTTTAATCAACGCACTCTATAAGCTTGAATTGTCCACCTCGGATCAACAGCCTAAAGTCAGATCAGTCTAATAATCCAATATAAAGATTTTCTTTAATTATATCTGCTACATTCATCAGAGTTGTTGAATTCATGGTTAAACTTGTTTCTAGTGTCATTGTTGAGTCTATATTTAATAACTAACTGAGAACCGGTGTTGCACTTCTACTCCCTCTTTCGAAGAAGCTTATATTCTCCCTCAAAGCAACATACTCACTATCTGCATAGCCTAACAATCCATGTATTTCACTACTTCTCACACCTTTAATCCTAGTTATCTCCATCGCACTGTAGTTTACTAACGCCCTACCCACTTCGACTCCTGACCCTGCCACAATCCTTGCATCTGGCGATCCTGGGCGCTCGACAACTACTAGACGCACGGCTTCTTGCTGGGCAAAGCTGCCCTCTACATCTACAATCCCGGCAGGAAGCAGACCAGCTTTGGCCGCCAATGCTCGATGAGCACCAGCATCAATATAGATCGTTCCATGTGGAGAGAGGCCATGTAGAAGCCAGAAATAGCGGTCCCTAATCGGCTGATGCGATGGAAGGAACCTGGTATGTAGAGGTGGCTCCACAAGCGACGATGTTACACCAGTAAGAGATAGTGTGGAATTGGATCTCGTGAGAGTTTCTGGTGTCTGTGATTGCGAAATAATATCACCGCTTCTACCGCCCAAAGCGGAATTTTTGAGGGATTGAACATAGCTCACAATACTTGCGATGTTTCCTGGGCTAGAGGACCGTGTTATGACAGTTGTTACACCTGCGGAGGTGGCTAGACGGGCAGCAACTATTTTGGTGGACATTCCCCCTGTACCTAGGCTAGAGCCAGCACTTGATACTGAAGATGGAGAGTTAGTGCATTTATTTCGAGAGGGCATAAGAACTGAACGGGGAACGACTACCATCGGCCTGTAATGCGGAGATGTCTTCAACAACCTCAATTGCTTGTGCATCTGGATGCGTTCGAGGGTTTTTATCATAGAGACAATCGACATCAGTCATCAGGAATAAGTAATCCGCATGGAGCATAGCTGCAGTGATTGCAGATAGAGTATCATTGTCTCCGAATTTGATTTCAGCGACAGCTAGGGTATCGTTTTCGTTAACGATAGGGATGACGCCCATCTCGAGAAGCTCGTGCAAGGTGTTTTGTGCATTTCGGTATTGGGTTCGCTACAAAGTGTAAGTCGTGTAGTGATTCACGTTTACATGGTGAGCTTACATCTGCAATATCATTTCTCGTGAGCAAAATTTGTGCAACAGGTTGTTGTAAGTGAGCGAACAAGCTATCCCATAGACTTATAAGACGACATTGTCCGATTGCTGCTAAAGCCTACACCCACCAATATTAGTCAAACATCCACTGACTAGCTGCTTTGAACGAGACATACTTGTACTCGGGGAAGATGTTTTGGCCTCTTATCCAAGTCCATTCTTCGAAGTCCAACTCCAATAGCTCCGGAGGATACAATAATAACTTTGTGTCCATCTTTGTGTAGTCTCACAGCAGTCTCAACAATCAAACTCAAAATACTCAATAACGGCTCATGAGTTTTCTCATCCACGATGGAACTGGTCCCTATAATGTCCCGTGACTCAGCTTCTGGCCTTTGAAAAGATGAGGTTTGTAAGTACCTAACTTTATAACTATAGTCAAAGATTTCGGGGTCTTCATCTTGCCAACGTTCATCTTGTTATGTAGAATACGTTTGACAAGATATCAGAGACCGTCGTGTAATGTGTGTGTATACTTAGCAAATCATCAAAGAAATGAATGTTGTCTTGGGTTGTTTTATATCAATCCCATGCCGGCAGAATTTTCCCACCGCCCACCAAAAGTTATTTTAGTGAACAATCGTTGTATCAACAAACAGCGCTCTACTTGGTACATCGCAAAGCGTAAGTGTTGTAGCTACTTATCTATAATGTCATCCTCGGACGGAAACAAGCCTCCGCTTGTCCCCGACTCTGCGAAGGAGTCAGAACCGCAATTCGACCCAACTGCTCGAACACGCAATTGGTTCTCTATCCTACTTGGCACAATGCCTCCATCCCACCAGATACTCTATCGCGAAGATCAATACGCTCGCCATGAGAAGCGCGACTGCGACCGATGTGAAGAATGGCGAGACTATAACTTAAAATACTCACCAATCGTTATATTTATGCAAAAAAACATACGAGATCTCAATGGGAAGCTTGATGCAGATAATATACGTTGTAGGAGATGTCCCACACGAATCACAGAAGATGGGAAAACGGTGAGGCAAGGTGGGGGTTTTAGCCCCGAGCATGGCATTCAGTTATGTGCGAATGAGATGAGGGATAGTAAACATGTGGAGGATACGTTGGCACATGAAATGGTGCACGCTTGGGATCATCTAAGATGGAAGGTGGACTGGAGAGATCTGCGACATGCAGCTTGTTCGGAGGTTTGTCTGCCCTGGCCTAGTACGAGTACAGACAAAACAGCTAAACGATAACATAGATCAGAGCAGCAAGTCTGAGTGGAGAATGTAGATGGGCAAGAGAGTTCTGGACGAGAAATAACTACAGGGTAACACAACAACATCAGGACTGCGTGCGCAGGAGAGCAGTCAAGTCGGTATTGGCTAGACCTTGGTGTAAAGACGATGTTCAAGCCGTAAAGGTAGTTAACGAAGTTTGGGATTCGTGTTACTCGGATACTCGACCCTTTGACGAGATCTACAAGTGAGGTCGTTTCATGAGATACGCCCATGTAATAATAGAAAGTTTGCTTTGTTAAATAATCGTATTCAGTACTTAGGTACTCGGGTATAGAAATGTATATCAAGATAGGCGCCAGTGTAATGGAAACATTAGATGCAAATCCCAAACTCTTACTCAACTTGTTCTCCCCAAGAATCATCTCAATCATTCTACTCCTTAAACGCCAATGCTCAAAACAAAACAGAATTCGTCAAATCATTCCTCACGGGTCTCTACGGTGGTTTTGCTACTCTCCGGCGGAGACTTGTTACCAGTGGATTTTGAATCCCGCATACTAGCTCGCTCACCCTTCACACAGTGCTTAATAATCCAGGGGTGCTTCTCAACCTGTTCGAGGGGAATTCGTTTCTCGGGATCGAGTACCAGTAGCTATGACAATAATTAGTTTGAGACGAATGTTGAGATGAAATCGAACATACCCTCTTGATCAGATCCTTTGCCTCTGAGGAAACAAAGCCTGGAATAGTCATTTCACACCTTGCTATCCTCCTGTGTGTCATGACTACAGTGTCCTCGAAAGGAGCCTCGCCAACTAAAAACTCGTACATCAATACACCCAGACTCCACAAATCGACCTTCTCGTTGTAGTAGTTGCTGTTGCTCTGCAACATCTCAGGTGGTAGATAATCTAAAGTTCCACACATAGTATTTCTTCTGCCGTTAGGGGCATGGACACTCCAGCCAAAATCTGCGATTTTGAGCTCGCCATGGATACCCACCAGGATGTTTTCTGGTTTAATATCCCGATGCATGACATGCTTCTTGTGGAGATACTTCAGAGCGGCAGCCATTTGCGCAATGTAGTGAGCTGCTTTCCATTCCGGAAATTTTGTCTCTCTACGAAGATGCTTGTAAAGTTCTCCTTTGCCAGCAAATTCTAGAATTAAGAAGACTCGCTTGCTGTCATGAAAGTGGCCATACAATTGGAGGATATTCGGGTGCCGTAGATTACTTTGAATTTCGATTTCCCGTCGGACCTGCTTCTCTACTTTGCCCTTTTGTATCTCGTTTTTGTGTAAAACTTTCAAGGCACAAACAAATCCAGTACTACGTTCTCTTGCCAGATATACACGGCCGAATTTGCCTTTACCAAGAGGTCTACCAATTTCGAACATGCCGAGATGAAACTGTTTCACTGGAGCTGGCTCCTGATACATAGGGTTCGATTTGCGCTCGATTCTGGCAACTTGTTCAGAATCTCGGTATGTTGTAGTTGGTTTCCTCGAAGGGGAAGCTGACTCCTGTGATGAAGCTGTGACTGTTGTGATTGTGTTTACTGTATTCTTATTTTGCAAAGCCATCTTGAGAAGGTTTGCTCTATTGGCATTTTGTGATAATTGTGTGCTGGAAGATGTAGTAGATGCGATCTGCTCGGTATCAATTAGCTACGATGTATTTGATCTTTGGTATGGAAGTCATTCACCTTGGAAATGTATTTCTTTCCTTCCCCTGGATCGTTCTCATCATTTACAGACATCCGCTCAAAGCGCGATTCAAGGGCATGGGCAGCCATTGCGAGATATCCGAGATAAAGGGCAAGAATTGAAGAAAATGTTGAAAGGATCTTGGTCGATTGAAGGAGTTTGAAGGAGTCTGAAGGAGTTTGACTACTAGGTTAGTAAAATAGTGGATGATAACGAAAGTATTATTGATATATTCGAGAGATCATTGGAAATCCAAGGTGACGGACGAGACGAGAGGTTATTATTTAGAAAAGCTGGAAAAGGTAGCGGCTAAAAAGTCAATGCTTGTTGACACAGCAACACACGAAACCGATCCGAGAAATGCCCAGTGAGAAGTGAGATTTCGGAAGAGGATTGGCTGGAGAGAAGAGGAAAGCGTTCCCCACTCACCACGTGCCCACCAAAACAACTAAAGCAGCCTTGTTTCGTCTCACCCCACCAAACAGGCATAGGTAGCACACACTGACAATTGTGCATCTTCTGCGCCATACCTAGGTAGTCATACTCCCTACAGATTAAACCATCGTCACATCACTCTTGGAATCGAATAAGGAGCAATCTTCAACTCGAATTCGAACTGGAACTGGAAGTGGAAGTGGGACTTGAACTCGAACCTAAGCTTTTACTGAACAGAGCTTGAATTAGAGCTCTGCCTCTACCTTGTCTCGCATTTCATATCCGCCAAAGACGCAATCGAAAAGAGTCATCTTGAACTTGATCAGTGCTTGAATCGAACTCAGACCAGATCAATCATTCATTATTCCACACGTCGTTCATATCCAATCTACAACTCACAATCTACAATCTACAATCATGGCATTCAACGGTCCTATCAATGAGCCTTACCCAATGCCCAGTGCGGCAGATACCGCTACTGTGTCGCATGTTCAGAAAGGCTTCAAAATCAGTGCACGTAAACTCCCAATCTCGAAATCAGGTCCAATAGATCAGATGTCAGAGAAGCTCGGCATACCGGTTCCAGAGATGATCTTTGGTGATAATATGGTTGCGATCGAGCACGTAGCGAGTGGATGGCGCATGGAATTCAATGCATACGATGCCCTGGATCGCGTGGACAAGACGGACAAAAATATGTTAAAAGTAGCCTATTCAAAAGAGTGGTCAAGTAGCAGGTAGGGAGCCGGAATTCTTGGGTTTCAACATGTCAAAGCTAACATGATATAGGGAGAAAACCCATGAAGGCATCAAAGAAATCGTCAAGCCTTTCGACTGGTCATATACAACAGATTACAAGGGCACTATCACCAACGAGAAATTGTTTACGTTGGATAACTCCGATCCGATACCTATTGCCCTTCTTAAGCGTCAAGATCCCATTCTGTTCTTCGAAGAAGTTGTTTTATATGAGAGTGAGCTAGACGACAACGGAATATCTGTGTTTTCTTGCAAATTGCGGGTTATGCCTGACCGAATGCTTCTCTTGTGCAGATTGTTCATGAGACTCGATAATGTTCTTGTTAGGATCAGAGATACTAGGATCTATGTCGATTTCAACACAAGAAAGGTAATTCGCGACTATACCGAGAGAGAAGATACATTTGACACTGTCAAAAAAGTGAGTAAAATCATCAATTTCTTCAAAAAATCCACTAATCTGTAGTAGAATCTTCTTTACTCTGGTACACTCCCAGACGATCTTACTATAGCCATGCGTGATCCAAATCAGATTGCCCACCTAGTACCTGAAGTTACACATACGATCGAGAATCTGACGCTTCCTTAAGCTCTACCCCAAATATAGATTCGCATACTATTTGAAAATAAGATAGATAAAATGAATGAGGACCTAAGGTCGCAACTCATTGGCGTCATAGTGCAAAAGATGAACTAACATGATACCAAAATCACAACGCTATCTTGCTGGGGAAAACCGCAGCCTATCGAAAAATCATAGGTGTAACTCACAGTTGCCGTAAGTGGACAAAATCGAAGGCTTTGGAAGTCGGAGGCCATCCAAGAATCGCTGTCGATGATTTGGTCATAACTTCTTGGAAACAGGCGTATAACTAATGATTTCTGTTGCGCTAGAAGACTGGGCATAAAGTTTCTAAGCAAAGGATGTACATCTCTCGGAGCTCAGAATGGTCAATTGCACAAGGCAGAGGTTAATCTGCATGAACGCAATACGTACACTTATCAAAGTTTATGTTTCTTACCATTTCAATCTTCACCCAAAACTTGATATCAATGAAGTATTAACCTGATATTCAAATTCTATTTCCAGGCGAATTGAATTTCGAGAATCCCAGGCAATGGCAGCATAATAGCGTCACATTCTGCCTCGAAAGAATCGGTAAATTGTCCTGCTCTATGCAATGACAGATACAGGTATGGACACACAACAAATTTCGAAGAAAACTTTTTCTTCGAAATACAACCCTTTCGCAATCGATTTAGATTATAGCTATTAAATCAAATTGATTGCAATTGTCCCCAAGTGATTCTGATCAGTAATTGTTGTGATATTGTTATTGATATTTTAAATATAAAACTTATACGAAAATTTGTATAAAATTTTCATTCTAAATCTCCAAAATAAGAATATAACTCCCAATATAGATTATCTTAATAATCTATCAACACTTCGGGATATAGCTATGATGAAGACTTCTTCTGAAGCCTTTATTATACTAAACACTTATTCTATTATTATTCTAGGTGTTATGGCGCCAACTACATAATCTGTAGTTGCCTTTATGCCTCAGGTATAGAATACTAGTACGCCCTATTTCCTATAAATAGAGCTTCACTTTTTCATAGCTTTTCTATCCTTATAGTATAATATAAGTCTTTATCTGTATTATAACAATTTGTACCATTATTAAATAAACTATTATAGTTTTATTTCCTATTTTATTTCCAAAGCTTTATCAACACTTTGTTTTGATTATACCAATTATATCTACCATTGATCTATTGTATACCCTATTGCTAATATTTTAAGCCTCAAAAAGTACCAAAGATAGATGAACAAATACTTATATCAGAAGTGCTTGTATCTGGTTTACCTTTGTAATTCCTTTTTTTGAATTACATTCTCAATTCCATCGAAATCAATATCTCTCCTTTTACAAATCTATTTAATAATCTAAATGCTATACACTTTATTATTGCTCAAGTTATATTTGAATCAATCGAATCAATCACAAGCTTATTACAAGCCCAAACTATTATTGCTCAAGTTTAAACCATTAATGCTTAATCAAAGATTGTTAAATTGAAAGATATAATTGAAATATTGAAGATTGCTATTCGCAATAATTCGTAAGCTTTACTTTATTACAAATATTTTATCATCCTCAAAAAGTTCAATAATGATAAATAAGATATTATAAAGCATTAAGATTAGTATATAACTTTTTATAATATAGTTAATTGCTATTTAACCACAGATTACAAAAATAAATTAGAGTTTCAGAAAATCATATTTCTTATTAACCTACTTTCTGGCCCTGTTTATATAAACAATCAGATACATTTT